GTCCCCGGGTCGTCTGCACCATGATGCTGCCAGAGGACAGGGGAACTTGCTGTTGGGTATTTGATGTGCTTGGACCACTAACTACTTCCTTTAGCTTTAGGCCCAGGCAGCTTTAGGGCCCCTGCATTCCCCTGGGGACCAGCCACCCCCACACCTGGGGGCTTGTGTCTGTTCTTCCCCTGCCTGGGGGACGTAGGGGTGTATGGGTATGGAGAGAGCACCCTGGAGTGGGGACCATAGGCGCCAACTTTCTCCGGCACCAGTGGGTGCTCCTGCCCCTCACCCCTGGTGCCACCCCGACTCCACCCTTTCCCTGCCCCTGGCCCTGCCCCCATTCCAACCCCATCCCCAAAGTTCCTGCCCCAACTCTGCCCCCTCCCTGATCCTATTGGATCCCTTCCCCAAATCCCCGCCCCGGCCCTGCCTCTTCCCCTTAGCGCGCCATGTTCCCCCTCCTCCCCTCTCCCTCCCTGCCCCACGAATCAGCTGTTTCGTGGCAGAAGCGCTGGGAGGGAGGGGAGAGAAGCAGGACGCGGTGGTGCACTCGCGGAGAAGGCGAAGGTGTAGGTGAGCTGGAGTAAGGGGGTGGGGCCACAGGGAGCAGCCAGTGGGTGCTCAGCACCCACTAATTTTTCTCCGTGGGTGCTCCAGCCCCGAAGCACCCACAGAGTCAACGCCTATGGTGGAGACATCCTAGCCTCTGGTCTAAGTGACCATGACAAAACTGGGGATGCAGCCTCCGTGGGACCCTGGCCAAGTTTTGGGACAGTGGAAGGGGAATCGTCAAGGGCAGGCCAGCCTCTGGGTGAATGGTGTTGGAGCGAGGACAAAGACCTTTTCGCTTTCCGATTACACAGGGTGGTGCAGAAGCCAGGAGAGTTCCCCACAATAGCGGGACTCTTTCTCTGCTTACATTAAGTTTATGAGAGAGACGAGGGGGATGAGCTAATATCTTTTGTTGGACCAACTTCTGTTGGGGAGAGAGATGAGGTTTCAAGCTGCTGTTGGATGGACTCCAGGCTAAACAGCTCCATATGCCAGGTTAGACAAACACCTGTCAGCGATGGTCTAGAATAATACTTAGTCCTGCCATGAGTGCAGAGGCCTGGACTAGATGAACTCAAGGCCCCTTCCAGTCCTACGATTCTATGATTTTCTGCCGATCCCTCACCTGTGTTTCCTTGCAAGTGTTAAGGGCTGTAGGAATTTTGGTTGTAGTTTGGTGCCTCAGAGCCAGCCCTGCTTCCCGGCTTCCTCCCATTTCTGGGAAAGGGGCAGCTCAGCCTGTTGCTTTCGGTTTCCAGGGGCACAGGATGCAGATCGTTTCCTGAGACTGTCACAAAGCTCCCTGGGAATCAGACCGGGTGTTTTTGCAATGAAAGATTCTCCATTGCCTGCACCTCGCACACTCGTTCACACCAGTGCAAAGTGAGAAGACAACTGTTTTGATCCAGAGTAGCAGCAGTCAAGACTCGTTGTGCACTGGTGGAAATGACGACACAAAATGATGCAGAATCAGCCCAGTGCCTGATCTCAGCATATCCAGGGCTGCCGACCGAATTGCCAGGCCCCTGGGCAAGGTGGGAGGGCACATCTCCAGGCCTCCGGAAGTGGCGAGGCTTTGGGCAGAAGGGGGTGTTGGGACTAGACTCCCACAACTAACCCGTCAGCGCTGCATGGCCCGTGCCACCCGGGGCTCTGCTGGTAATTTAAAGGGCCCAGGGCTCCGGCTGTTGCCAGAAGCCCTGGGCCCTTTTAAATCACCAGGCCCCGGGGCAGATGTCCCTTTGCCCCCCTCACCCTCGTCGAGAGATAGCTTGGGAGGGGAACAATTCCCCATGTGTCTCTTTGTGCACCAGGCAGGGGTTGGGATTTCAGGGATAGGCTCTACTTGGCAGAGGGCTGAGGAAGGGGTTACTGCGCTGCCCTGGGGAGAAGAGAAGAGGGCCTGCAATGGCTGTAATGATTCACTCTGCAGCTGTGGCTAGAGAACGGGGAAAATATAATATCAGAAACACTGAACAGGGTTAATCTAGGATGTTTTCCCTTAGGGGAGGGACGAATCCTGTTCCACCCCAGGCTACAAGAACCCGCTCCCTGCTCAGCCCTGACCCCTGCCTCGCTAAAAACAGAAAACTCTTTAATCAGTAGAAAAAAGTCAGTCCCTTCTCTTTTTTTCAGCCCCTGAAGCAAAGTCCTGGGGAGTGTGGAAGAAACGGACTCCACTCTCCGGTTGGAAGCAACAAAATCAGAGACAGGTTTATTCAGGACATGCAATTGCAGGGGAAGAGCACGGCTGACAGAGAGCATCTCTGCCTCAGTTTCTCCAAAATACAAGCAAAATCACACAAGCATTTATACCCCTTTGTGACATGCATTAATTAAAACCTTCTGCATTTTATTTAGGCTATTTCCTACCTATTGCAGTATTTTCTCACGTTCTCTTCTCAAACGTTCTCTCAAGGCTGGGTCACACTGACTATTCTGCTGTTTTCCTCTCGCTTCTGACGTGAGCCCGGCTTCTACAGGTCTCGCCATATTAGGCTCAGACTTGACAGAACAGTTGTTCTGTCTCTGACTCTTAAATGGCTGCACTTAAACCCTCTCTTCCTTTCCCTGCTTCCACAGGAGTTTCCCCCGTAATTGCTGATTCTGTTCCTGCAGCAACGATCGATTCCCCCGACCCACCAGGACGACACAGGACGGTGCATCAGCACAGACTGCATAAGGTACGGCCCCAGATCGGCCGCCCCACGATGCTGCCAAGGGACAGGGGAGCTTGCAGTTGCAGGTTGGACGCACTGGAACCCCTTTAGCTTTGCACTGGAACCCCTTTAGCTTTAGGGACAGGCAGCTTTGGGGCCCCTGGCATTGCCTTCGGAACCAGCCACCCCCACACATGGGTGCTTCTGTTTGTGCTTCCCCTGCCTGTGGGTCCTCGGGGGCAGTGGGGGAGGGGAGCTGGCCCATTGTCTGATTTTTTTGGCTAGAGGTTTCTGGGGAACCCTTTTGTTGAATTGTCTGAGCGATCCAACACACAGGTGTGGCAGGTAGGTGTAAAAAAATTGAGGGGAAGTGGGGTTTTTCCTACTGCCTTTGATATAATTTTATTTATTTATTTATTTATTTAACCATTTTTCCACCTGGGAAAATGTGACAAAAGAAAATGATGCTAAAATTTACGATAGAGACAAGGTGGGTGAGGTAACATCTTTCATTGGACCAACTTCTGGTGAAAGAGGCAATCTATGAAGTTCCTCAGAGCTCTTCTTCAGGTCTGGGGAAGGTGCTCCATGTGACAGCTAAATACAAGGTGGGACAGATTGTTTAACCTAAGTGGTAACACGTTGTTAGAGAGCATTAAAGGGGAAGGCACCATGTAACACCTCTGTAGGCAAAAGACAAAAGCTAGGGGTTACAGATTAGAACATAAGACCAGCCACACAGGGTCAGACCAATGGTCCATCTAGCCCAGTGTCCTGTCTTCAGACAGTGGCCAATGCCAGATGTTTCAGAGGGAATGAACAGAACAGGGAATCCTCAAGTAATCCATCCTCTGTCGAGCAGTCCCACCATCAGACAATCAGAGGTTCTGGGACACCCACAGCAGGGGCCTGCATCCCTGACCATCTTGCTAATAGCTATCAATGGATTTGTCCTCAAGAACTTACTAAATTCTTTTTTGATTTCAGTTACAGTTTTGGCCTTCACAACATCCCCTGGCAAGGAGTTCCACAGGTTGACTGTGCGTTGTGTGACAAGGTACTTCCTTTTGTTGGTTTTAAATCTGCTGCCTATTCATTTCATTGGTTGACCCCTGGTTCTTGTTTTATGGGAAGGGATAAATAGCACTTCCTTATGCATTTTCTCCACACCAGTTTTGATTTTAGTTGCAGGGCCGGATTAACTTTTGGTGGGCCTGGCGCCAAACATAGTTGTGGGCCCCATGGGGACTAAAGGGGCCAGGGGCAGGAGCACAGGGGGAAGGGTGGATTTGATTTAAATCATGATTTAAATCACTAGTCAGAAAGATTCAATTTAATCATGGTTTTCTATATAAAAGTGCATTCTTGTTGGTCGTTATAACCTTAATACATATTCTTCAGATGTAGGCTTCAGTTTTAGAAGGTACACACTCTACACTTTTCAAAGTAGCAACCGTGTTAGTCTGTATCCGCAAAAAGAACAGGAGTACGTGTGGCACCTTAGAGACTAACAAATTTATTAGAGCATAAGCTTTCGTGGGCTACTGCCCACTTCTTCGGATGCATATGCATATTTGTTGCCAGCACAGGTGTGCTCGAGGACAGCAACAGTGGGTTCGTTGCCCGGTGTGCTTCGCGTCAATGAACACACCAGGTGGAGAAGCAAGCAAAGTTTATTTGAGATCTCAAAGCGGTGCAAGGAGACTGGCACGTCTCAAATCAAGCACGTTAACAGAAACAGCTTTTCTTCTTTTATACATTTTGCAGTCAAGCCTCCTCCCCCCCCCACTATCCCTTCCCTCCTCCCCCCCCCCCATTCTCCTCTCCCTCTACCCCTCCCTTCCCTGGTAACAATTACTAGGCAAATAGCGATTACATTT